AGGCGCCACATCACTGTGCCTTCTTGATGTAATGTGCCTGACTATTTACGTGGCAAAATCAAAATCTCACTGTAAAGTCATTCTCTTTTTATGTACTACAAATTTAAAGCGTTATGTCGATCTTTTTCAAATTACCTGGATGAGTAAATTATATTAAGATTCCCTTTTTGGGGTTGCAAATTGTATACTGGTTCTGATAAAGCAAAGATCTACTAAGCTATGCTGAAGAAGTGGGTGAAAAATTTCTTTCTACCATGTTCTAAGCACTCATCCTCAGGACATTATTCCTCCTTCACTGTCCTTTTGTTCCCCACAGAAATAACAGAGTAACATGGAGGGCCATCATTTGGCTTTTCAGAGTCTGGCCCTGCCTGCCCTCCAGCCTCAGCGCTTGCACTTGCTCTAGCCCTTACTTCTTCTTTTTTTTTCTTTTTTTTTTTTTTTTTTTTTTGTCTTTTTCCTTTTTATGGTACTGGGAATCGAACTCACGACCGCCTGCTTGCAAGGCAGGCGCTTATGCCGCTGAGCTAAATCCCCAGCCCCTGAGCCCTTACTTCTAAAAACACTTGTACCTCTAATGCTTCCTGTCCCCACCCCTGTCAGACTTTCTGCTGTTCACTGGTGACCATCTCACTCTGGACTTCACCACAGCCCAACCTTTTCTGTGGGATGGGAAGTGAAAACGTCGTCTGTCTGTCATGTGTCTCTCCCTGTACCCATGCCGTGAAACTTTGCATTTGTTTTCCAACACGTCATTCTGGCTCATGTCCTTGCAGTATTTTTGATGAAAAAAGACCCTCCCCTTTTTTGTTATTTTAAACAATAACAAACTTAAAAGTTCTGAGTACCCCAGAAAGAGCTTTTTGTCCTGTCCTATGTGAGATGTGCTCCTAAAATAATACCCAGTAACCCCAAACAATTTAGTGTGTATTTTTAAGAAGAACATTATTTTGTTTTACATAACTGTATGATAGTCATAGAAATCAAATTATTCAGGTTGGGGGAATGTGGAGCCCCTCGATGAGGGAGCACTTCCCTAACATGTGTGAGGTCCTGGCTTCCAGCCAGCACCCTCCAAATGTCAGGAAATTGGTGTTCATTTTGATACAACACAACTATAAGGCTTGCATTTCGTTTGCTTCTTTTTAAATTTTTTTTAATAATAAACTTCAGTATCAGTGTTGCATTTATGTGTTACATTTCTTCGGCCTGCTCCTGTTCCTCAGTGTTCACAGGGCTCTGTGAATGTGACAGTTGGGCTTTCATTTTAGAGAGCAGGCCCTGGTTTCCTCCGGGAGAGCTTGTGCTGCACTGGCAGGAATGATACGCGTGGTGCTGTGTTCTTCTGTTGTGCTTGCTCAGGCAGCACGGCATTTCAGTTTGTTCACTTCTGGAGTAGGTTGCTGTCCCGAGGCTTCTTGCTTTTTCCCTTCGTAATTGTGCAGAAATAACTTTGAGACTATGTGAGTGACTCCATCCCCCATCAAACTTGGATTCATTTGTTTTACATGAGACTTGCTGTTGGCGTCTTGTTTTAGTGTGACGTCATTCTGCTGTTGCTTGTTTTACTGTTAAATTGTCATAGACTGTGTCAGTGGGACCCTTCCCTACTAGCTTTTGTGTGCTCTGGATATGCCCAGATCGTGTTCTGAGCATATAGCATTTTCCAGCCTCCACCTGGGAAGCTGACATTTCTTCATGAGCCTGGGTTCCTTTTAGCAGAGAACAATATTTAGAAAGCAAGCTTTGGGCACTAAGTGTGCTTATTATAATTGGGGTATGTCTGCTTCCAGACCGTCTCGGTGATTAAACCTAGAGAATATATATGTACATATGATCTCTTTATGTGCATATTTGTATTTCTCTTTCTTTTATCTATCCCTGTCTGCTTATTGACTGAATGCCCTGATTTCACATCAGAGACCACACAGGGAGGAGTCCTGCGATACTACCTGAGCTCATCTATGTCTAGGACTTTTTTTTAGATGGCCACGCCCAGGAGAAAACCTCTTCATGTGACTGTCAAGAGTAGAGTAAGGGAGAACCTCTCCATACTCATGGTTGGTGAGAGAAGCATGGATCCAGGACCATGCATGAGAAGATGTTACTCCCTGTGGGCTTTTCCCTCTCTGCTGGTGGGGCCTTGACCATGATGTTCCATCTCAGTGTTCCTGTTCTATCCACAAGTTTTAGTGTTTGGGAATGGTTCCCAGATCATTTACACTCTCGTCTACATGTCTGTCTTCTGAACTAGTATGGTAGCCTTCTTAAATGTAGGGACCCTTTGTCATTTTTGCCCCCAGCTTTGGGTTGAACCTAGCACACAAATGGAGATACAAACAGTTATATGAAGGTAGCAACCGCAGCAGTAACAAAGACCTTTGGGCCATTATGGTGGCCAGGGAGGAGCAGCTTAACAGAGTGTTTATTTCCTGTCTCCGACTGGGAAGTATTGTTGACTCACTGATGACAGACATGCACAAAATGGAGTGGAGGCTCCATGTCCTCACCTGCAGGCTCCAGGCAGCACAGGCCATGGTGCCAGCACTAATGAAGCAGGACCGGAAACGCCACAGGACAAAACTCAGCTGTGAACCCTGGCCTCACAGCCGGGAAACAGGGACCCTTTGAAGAAGAAGACAGCTGGGTTTTGGTTTCAGACCTTAACACTGCCATCACTAGATACTCATCTGTCAACGCACAGGGGACAACATGTGGGGAACAGTTGTGTCCGGTCAGGCTGAAGGGAGAAGGAGATGGCTGGTTTCCAGAGTAGCTGTAAAACTGCTCCAGCCAGTGGTTCTGCATAGTGTAGCCAAAAAGAATTGATTTGGTGAGGTGGGAGCTGAGTGTGAGAGGCTGAGCTGTCTGCTGTGGGCCAGGTGGTCATCTTCCTTGCTGTGTCACCTTCCATCAGCACTAGGACTGGTGGCTCTGTGCCCAAGTCATGAAAGTCTGTCCACTAATGGCCTAAAACTGTTTCGATGTACTACGCTCCAGTGCTGAACCATCGGTGAAGCCAGCCTGTGCCAGCACACATCCACCCTTTCGGCGTTTACTTGAAGCCACTATTTCCTCTTCGTGGCCCTTTCCTTCACTCCTGGCTTCCAATTGCTGCCTTAGTTAGTGGTATTTTCCTCTCAGGAAAAGAAAGATTTGTAACCCTTGGTTGAATTTGTTTACTAAGAGTCCTCTAATCTGTGCAGGAGTTTTCTTCTGAGGGGATTTCTTGTTATACTCTAATGGCTTTTAACTGGCTGAGGTTTACTTAGCAGAAGAGGAAGGGAGACGTTATCTCCTGCCTAATCCCTCTTGAATGTTTACATTTCTCTGCTGAGTCGGTCAGCGGAGAGTGCAGCAGCCATTTGCTCTGGGACAGTCCATGTGCAGCTGCCAGAGCTGATGCAAACTTATTAATGTAAGTGATAATACTGTCATAGGAGTGAAAAGTTAAGTTGCTTATCAGTATATTTTGATAAGCTACTTAAATTTTACAGTAGCATGTGCTGGCTTCAGACAGACGTCACTGATAGCGGATGGTGCACTTTATCTGTCCTCTCTATTGCCTCTCACTTCATTTATTAGCCTGAGCGGCGCAGCCAGTAATCTGTACAGGGTGCTGATTCCTTCTCCAGGCAGGATGTCACATGTGTTTTCTGCCTTGGGTAGAGCTCTTTATCAGTGATGTACACTGTTAGCTCAGCAGGGCAGACATAAGCACGGAACAAGTAGTTTCTATGATGCTTCTCACGTGCCTGTTGGTAGCTTTGCGAAAGTTTCTTAGAGACAATCAAGCTATTGAAAGCAACTAGAAAAACTTCTTGGGAGCAGAGATGCTTTTCAGTCATTTTCCATGGCATAGAGGTGACTTTGGCCTTGGTCTTTGTCCAGTTGTATTTGCTCAGTAAACACTGACCATCACTGCACGCCCCGCTCTGTTCTTAACACTGCGACAAGGAGAAGAAAAGTGTGCTCCTTCCTGTCTATTTGCACACAGTCTGTTAGAAGGCAGAGGCATCCTTGACTACTATATTATGCATGGAACATTAGGAACATATTTGTGATGAAAGGAGCACAGAAAAGGTAAGAGTTAGGGGATGGGAGGCAGAGACAGGGAAGAGATGGAGTCCTGTTAAGAGGATGAACAGAAATCAGGTAAACTAAGTTGTGCAGGTCTGAAAGGGCCATGGTGTGCTAGCTCAGGCAGGCTAGAGGATATCTAATATTCCTGGACCAAGACTGCCATGAGAGGAGCAGGCACATGGCCAATGCAAAGGGACCGCCAGAGAGGTAGTCAAGGTTCTGGCAAGAGGAGCCTTGAAACCTATCCTAAGTGCTGACTGCTGGATGGGACACCATTGCAGGAATTTCATCCAGTGTGTGAAGCAGGTTTGCATGTTAGAAAGGACAGTCAAAGTGTCACATGGAAGATGTCCTTAAAGGGTAAAGCCTGGATCCAGGCCATCTTGTGAATCTTGAGAAGCAGTGGTCAGAACCTGGTGTGGGACAATGGGCTTGAAGACTTAGTCATCTTGCAGCCAGTATAGATAGGTGACTTAGAGATACAAGGGCTGGTGCACCAACAGGAGTGGTTTGGGGTGCATGGGGCTGGTGGGACACCTTGCTGATACCAGCAACTGCTTGTGTCCAATCATAAGACTTGGATAGACCCTGTCCTGGGAATGGTGGGTGTGGTAGGAGAGACCTGGGAACCACTCAGAGATGGGCCTGATTGCAGAGTTGGCTTTGAATTGCTTCCCTGTGAACCTGGTCTAGCTTTGAGGCATGGGAATAATTTATAATGGACATTCACTCTTCTGCCTCACACAGGCAGTTTTTTAAAAATCCCAGAAATAATTAGCCCATCTGTGATTCCAGCACAGTCTATGACAGGAAGACTCTTCAGGATACAGAGCAAATCTCAAATTTATCAGTCTTGAATTGGGCCCTGGTTCTGTTTTTTGACTTGCATACTAATATTTCTGTTTCTTTTTCCTCAGCTATCTCCCGTGGTTCGAGGTATTTTATAAGCTACTTAACATCTTGGCAGATTATACAACAAAAAGACAGGTATTTGCTTTTTTAAAAAAAAATTCCTCTTAATAAGTAAACTTTAATTTTTATGATAATGAAAGTAGTACATGTGTTATATTTCACTAAAACATTTACCAAAAAAGTAATACACTCATATAGTAAATGGGAAATTCAGAAAATTGTGGGAAGGAAAAGAAAATCACCTTTAATCTAATCTGACCCAGCTTTCTTCACTAAAATAAGTGCTGCTAGTATTGAGGTTGTTTTCTTCTGGGTTTTTTTTTTCTTTGACTTAAAGAAATAATAAACAGACATAGGGTTAGTATTTTCAAATGTCTAATATGCCCACGCAGCCCTAAAAGTTCTTGACATGAGTAAAATTATTATTTTGCTGAGGTTCTGATTTGAATTGCTTGTGTCGTGCTGCAAATGTAGGGTTTGCAAGTGATACACTTAACATCAGTTAAGTGACAGTCCACCTGCCCAAGTTCCCATTTTGATAAAGCTTTGTGATGTTTTCCCCAATAATTTCTCCAGGTGTCTGAAGTTACTTTAAAAGTTCAGCTGTCTTTAATTGTACTTTTGGAAGAAATGATATACTAAGATATCATCCCTGGATGATAGAGGTCAATTGGAATGTATTCAGATTTTGTAGTCCATATATTCAAGAACCATTCAACAGAATCATTTCTCCCATGATATTAAAGAAATACAAGCTTTGTCATAGCTGCATAACATTGTATCACATATCTAGATTTACAGGAATAGTTTGCTGTTACTTGACATTTTAATTATTTGGGATTTTTTTCATGATTATAAGAAGTAAAACTTTTAGCATCTTTGAGCATAAAGCATTTTCTTTATTTGGGACTATTTCCTTACAGGAGAGAAACCTTTGTTTCGCAGTGCTCTCCACTTCATTTGGGCGCAAGCCCCTTTAATTCCGTGACAAATGATACCCTGAGATAGCTGTATTTTCTGAAACATACTTTAGGAAATATTGTTTTAGAAGAATGGTGGAAATTGCACAGATAATGTATAAATCTGTTTTTTAAGTTAGATTTGCTTCACAGTAAAGCACAGGAAATGTAATAGAAATGGAAATGATTCTCTTGATCACTATACTCATTCTGAAAGAAGTTTAAGCATCTGGGATTCTGTCATAAATGAAGTGATTTATTCTTTGATAAACAAGTTAGGAGGTTGCCTTGGGTCTGGATATTGATTTTTGATTCACAGTTATCTTTAGTCAGACATTCAGATTTTCACTCAAAAGTATCTTTAATAAATAAAATTGTGCAACATGTAGGCTTTTAACAGTTTTTGAATTGAAAACTGATTCACAGTTTTCTGAAAAACAATAGAATTTAGTATACTTTTAAAAACATATCTTTATGATCAGGAAACATTGGGTAGGTACAACATAGGCATAGAGGAGTCCAGATTATGACCCTGTAAAATGAATTCACCTTTCCTCTGGGCCATTCCTCCAGCAAGGCCTCTGCCTCCTGGTGTGTTAGAGGCTGTTTTTGCCAGTTGGAGCTTATTTCGCCTGAGGCTGTGACTCTTTTTATGAAGTTTCTTCTGGTTGCAGGAATTATGACACAGATGGTAGAGAATTTGTCTACAACTGGCTAGTTTGCAAGGTGTTGGCCAGCAGATTAGAACAAGAGGAAGTAGTTTGCAGAAAGAAAGGAAACAAACCAGAATCTGTCCCCCTGCAAGCCCTAAACTTCTCCCATCCATAAGTCTCTGGGAAAGTTAGGCAAGACTGGTTTCTCCTTTGTAGTGTTTGTGCTTATGTGTCTCTGTGAGCATGGCAGCCTTGTTACCATTCCCTGAATGGGACCCCGGGGGCTTGCATGCAGACGGGCTAGTAAGACAAGGAGGTATCTGAGCCTAACAGCAGCCTGTTCAGGGTGTGAGTGCCCAGATCCTGAAAGTTTAGTACCCTTTTCTGCTAAAGGGAAGCAGAGCTTCTTGAAGAAAGGACTGTTTCCAGTGCTGGAGCAGGGAAAATACAGGATGAGGAGCCTAAAATATCTTTTGTACAAAAAGAAAGGAAGTGCTCAAAATACGATAAGGACGTATCAGAAGGATGAAAACAAGTTTCAAGAGCCAAGGGGCTCCACTGGTCTTATCTGGTAGCATCAAGACAAGTCATAATAGCAAAGGATTATAGCCGACTGAGTAAGCCAGAAACCTCACACACAGTATAATATAAATAGAAAATGGACAAATTGAAAGTTTGTGGAATGAGACATTTACATGATCACTCTACAACATATGTCATAAATACAAAGGTTGTCATCACACAGTAAAAAAAGACAGGTGAATTAAGTGCTGAAAGCAAATATCAATAAGGAAACAAATTGAGATTTGAATCATGAAAAAATATCAGACAATTGAGAATCTAAAAATGGGTGAGCTCATGTCAAGGTTATATACATCTAGGAAAGACTGAGGAACTGTTCCAGACAGAGGAAGACGAGAGAGAATAGGATCTAAAGATTAGATGATAATGCTGCATGAAGGTTAATTTCTATGATCCTGATAATTAACTGTGCTTATGTAGGAGAGTATCTTGTTTGTATCAGTGAATGAAGGGCGTAATGTCAGCAACTCATTCCCAAACAGTTCAGGAAATGAAAAGCTTTTTATACCATTTCTACAACTAGTATGTGCATTTGAGACTGTTTCAGAGCAAAATGAAACACATGCTCACACCTGTAAATTCATGTTCTCTGTGAGAAACTTATTGGTCAGAGTTCAGATGGAAACAAACCTGTAGTCTGGACTCATCCTCTGTTTTTTTCTCCTTAAATTCACTTCCAAAAGGCAGAGAGGTTTTGGGATTGAACACAATGAACTTGCATTTTGTCCCAAGCCGTGGGGCTTAGTGTCTGATGTAGAACATGTTTGCTTCCCTTTTCAGGGCTTCAGTCTTTGTATCTGTGAAGGGGGTGGTTGCGAGGATCATATACATAACAAATAGATACCAGTGTAAAATCTATTACTATTATATTAACACAAAGAATTCTAACAGGTGGGAGAAATGCCTTTTGAATCATCCCATGAACAGTGTTCTTTTGAGCACTTTAAAGGCAAATCTGTTTTCAGTGGAATAATTTGTGCTGCTTTGTGTATCATTCTGTTGCTCAGTTTCACTAATTAAAATGCACAGCCACCATCCTATATTGTATGCTGGTGTACTTAGTTCATTTCTAACTTTCCATAATTGGAGACTGCCGTGTGTACCACTCAATAAAATTAATTGAGGGTAATGATGATGAAGACAAGATCTACAGTGCCATCGTTATTTCTCCCAACCACCCCCGCACTGGAAGCTCACATTGTTTGCATTTAAACGTTGTTGCTATGGAGTTGAGGGGATAGATTTACTGAGAGCTTATGGTATATGATCCATAAAAGGCGGTCATGGTAGGTGTCTCACTGAGTAGAAAATGTCAAACTCAATGTAGGAGAATCTGTTCAGCTCTTATGTTTGAGCCATACACAGTGTCTTTGATCCAACCCTACTTGAATATCAAACTGTTCCTGTAATGGGGCCAGCATCAACCACCTTCCTCCTTCTCCACCAGACTCACTGTGTGCTCAAACCTAACAAGGAAGGGCTCAGTGTTGTGTTGTGATTGAGGCCTGCTATTTCTTTCAGGAGAGTCAATGGAATGAACTTCTTGAAACTCTGCACAGACTTCCCATCCCTGACCCAGGCGTATCTGTTCATCTCAGTGTGGTAAGTGGGGCTGAAGAGGAGCCATCCCGAGAAAACTTTTCATTATGAACAGTCAGAGGGAGTTGACTCCCAAATGGGGTCATCTTTAGTCATCTGCGCCTCCTGATGTCCTACCTTAAATACACTGAGAACTGTGGACATACAGCAGACAAGGGGGAACTTCTTCCTTTCCCTAAGATTCTGGGAGGAATGGATGGCCCCCAAATGCCCAAGGCTGTTCTCTGGCCATCATCCCTTAACCTGTACCTCCTTCGACACAATTGTAGGCAGACATAGGATGACTGGCCCTGCCTGCCTCTTCAGTCCCTGTCCTGGACTTCCTGGTCACTCTTTGCCCTGGTGCTGCCGCACATCTCCCACTGCTGAAGCCCATCCTGCACCCTCAGCCTTCAGTGCTGTCTCTTTCTGATTGCCAGATCTTGCATGTGCATCCTTCAGGGTCAACCCTCATTTTACTTTCACAGAAATCTTCCCTTGACCTTGCAGGCTTAGCTAAAGCTTTTCCTAAGTTACCCCCAAGTACCTTTTATACTCTGTAGGAATTAGTTTTTCCATATTAGGATGATTTTTTTCCTTGTCTCTCTCAGTGGACTGGATGTCCCTTCAGTACAAAGAATGAGAGTGCTTAACGTGGTTTTTACCATATAGTGGTAATCATTTCTTTGAATGCTTCTAAATATATGCTGCATCTTCTGCCATGTGCCAAGGTGGAATTCCTCTGTACTACCCATGGGACATTTCCTAGTTGTGTTTTGCCAGTGACCCAGGTAACCTTAATCAAACCTTTAACTTCGTGGGCCTCGGTCTCCTCATTTGTTAGATAAGGCATCAGAAGATGTTCAGTGTATTTTTTTCTATATTTCAGTTATTGGGGTTTTCTTAATTGCCTGCGTCAAATTCTTGTCATTACCTTCATCAGAATTCTCAGGTAGACAGCCTTTCCAGGTATCCAGGAGTTATTTTTTCTTACGTTGTGAGGCCTAAAAGTTTTTTGTTTCAGCTTTATTAGAACCAGCTACAATGTTGGTGTTCAGTGGTTAGAAAAATATGTACCTCCCCAAGGAAAATTAATATTTCTTTTAGATTTCTCCAGATGATAAAATTGAAAGCCATATTGCTACAGTAACTAATAACAGATCTACTATTTTATTAAGTTTTTAATTTATACCAAATATGTACCTCTAATATTCAAGACAGGTCTACAAAATGATCCTAACATTCTTACTTCATAGATGAAAGGTTTAGAAAGGAAAAGGTACTTGCTCATGTCAAGTCATATGGTTAAGAAATGATAAGATTTGAGTTTTTCCACCCAGGACTGGCTTCAAAATCATTTGTGTTTTCATGATGTCATGTATATTGAAAGAAAAAGGGAAAGAGGGAGGAAGGAAGGAAGGAATTTATATAGGTTTTTGTTTATTTTAGAGCATGGGAAGGAAAGATACCTTGGTGCAAAAATTTTTGCAGGCAAGGGAATTCTGTCTAGAAAAAAACAAATGAGCTTTAGTCCTGCCCTACACATCACTAAGGCTAAGCAATCCTGCTTTTGTCTCTGTCCCTTTTCCTAAGCAGCTTGATCTCACTGCTTCAGTCTGTAATGACATCCGACAGGTAGCTGTGGAGGAGCCGACTGGGTCACCAGCTGCTAGGGAGGAAGGGCCACTCCTTTCCCGAATGGTTGCACAGGCAGTCTGCTACCAGGCCTCAAGGACAAGCCAGCTCGGGCAGGAGGAACTGTTGGGGTGTGCAGCTGTTTCATGCTAGTGGTTTCCAGGAATGTTTCTGACCTCCCCTGGTCCCCAGCATTTCATGGGCAATGGAGCAAGACAGAATCTCAAAGGACAGCCCCGGGACTACTCCATTTTGGAATTGCGTTGGCTCACTATTTACAATCCATTGCATCTGCAAAAGCAGATTTTTTTTTTTCCTTTCTTCACTACAAATTCTCTCCAAATCTCATCTCTGATTTTGAAGGCTAGTCTCATCTAGACTGTGCAAATCCCAAAATGTTGGGAAAATGTCAGTCCTGGACTTGGTATCTTTAGTTATTCTATAAGAGTATTTCCATGTGTCTGATATATGTGATTGAGAAAAATAGAATTTTCTCATACTAGTGGTTGAGAGCAAATACTAATTTTGTATTATAATACCATTTATTAAATAGTAAGCACTGCATATATATGTGTATATATATACATACATATATATATATATATATGTATTCATCACAACTATTTTAAAGTAGACAGTAGAGTTCCCACTCACAGATTCTAAAACTGAGGTTCTGTGCTATTAAGTTGCCTGAGTTACACAGCTATCAAGTGGCCAACACGTGAGACAGTTCTCTCTCTGGCCAGGTCAAACCCTTACTTAATGACTCCATCACTGTGTGGAATCTGGCACTGAATGTTTCAGAAGCTCTGTCTTAGGGGTGATATGAAGTTGGTGTCTCATGGAGCCAATCTGAGCCTTGCACTTTACTTTTCCTATTTTAATCTTCATTGTTAAATTAATTTCCTTGCTGTACCATCTACTGTATTTCATAGGTAATATTTTGACATATACAGATTTTGGAATAATACTTTGCAGAAGGTTTTTTTTTTTTAATTTTTTTTTTTTACTTTCTAGTTATTTTACTTCAGGTTCTTTTAGCTATAGTTTACACATGAAAAGCAAATGTAATAGTCTGTTGTAGTGAAAGGGCATACAGTCATACAGTCCTAGTTTCAGTCCCAGCTATACCACATTTGAATTCCGTGATGTTTGATGTTTACCTCTCTGAACACTCATCCATTTGCAGTATGATATTGTCATAATTTATTATGGAAATTAGAGATAGTACTGATAAAGTGCTCATTGTGAAGTCTTCCATAAAACAAAAATGTTCCATAAACTTCTGTTGAATCTGACAAACATCTCATACTATTTATTACTGTCATTGTTAAAATTGTTCCTAAGGCCTTTCAGTTTTGAAGGCCTATACATTCATTCTGCTGGGGACCTCTTATTGTGCAGCTACCCAGAAATAGAGGTAGGGTTGGACTTCCTAAAATGACACCTGGGGGTCCAGGTTTAAACACACGCTGTGACTGAGCTGACAGTCTGTGTATGTGACCTTTCCTGGCCTTGCACAATCCCATCTTTAATTACCCATCATTGGCTTTTTCCAGTCCTGTTTGCTATTATCTTCTGCATCTTTAACAGTGGCAAAAGAGGTGTCATCGGTTGATCCTTTTCTCATTTAAACCCAACGACACATGCTTGATGGAACTTGGAAATGCCTCCCTGGAAGTCTTCCAAGAGGCTGATTTTTGACTACACTGAGTCTCCGGCTCCCTCCACTGGCAATCCCACCGGAAGTTAGGGGATTCCCAGAGTGTGCTTCCTAGAGAAGCTGTCCATTATTAAATGTCTGTAGTGCTCTAGGTGCAGTGATCCTTCAGCTGCAGGTGTCCTCCTATCTTTCAAGCAAATTTTGGCCACAGTTTATAGATGGTTATAATCTCAGATACTGAAAGGAAATGGCAACTCTGGCTGGCAAAGACCCATCACTGGGTGAATTTACTGCTGTTGGGTCCCTAGGGCTCACTTGCATTGTTGAGCAAAATGTTGTGAAGCCTGCAGCTTTCATGTGTTCAGAAACCTGCTAGTATCATAAGGAAATTCAGCCTTTAACTTCTTTAAGCTCTTCATTTATACTCCCTGAAGAAGTTCATCACTGATAGAAAAGAACTTCAGCAAACTGAAGAGTTAATGCAGCTGGTTTAATCTAAACTGAAGAGTTAATGCAGCTGGTTTAATCTAAGGAAAACATTTCGTGGATAATTTCATGGCAACTCTGTTCTCTTCATCTGAGTAAGGATGTATCTTCAGGTCATATCTGAATTTTGGGTAATATGATTGCTGTATATTCTTGCAAAAAATATACAGCTTGTGCTTTTCTTTTCCAGCATTCTTACTTTACTGTGCCTGATACCAGAGAACTTCCCAGCATACCTGAGAATGTGAGTACTTAGGAAAGAATTGTTAAATTTTTTATCTTATGTTTCTACATCTTTTTTTAAAATAAAAGGATATGTTTGAAAATATAATTATAAAAATTCTAATTTTTAGAGTATATTACAAAAACAAATATAAAAAGAAAATTGCATTATAGAAACAGGAAAATGAAACTAGAAAATATAACAATAAGGAAAAGATACTATTCTTATTTCTCAAAGGTAATCACCGATTAATATATTAATGTCTCATAGCCATCTTTTTCAAATACACGTTTTTATATACTTATATTTGTGTATTATGTGAGCATTTTTCTGTTTTTATTTATCAGACTCATTTTTATTCACTACATAATATTTGCTACATAATTTACTTAGGCATTAGTCACTATTGTACACTGAGGCTTTTTCCTTATGTCTGCTATCATAAATTCAATGTTTATAAAGAAATTTTTATGTAAATATTTCTTTATTAAGGTAGATTTACTCAAATAAAATTATACTTCTAATTCTTATACCTCAGTATTCACTTTTCAGAGAATAAATAAACTATTAGTGGATAAAGTGTGACTCCCATCCTCACCTCCTATGACTTAGGGGCAATGGATTAAGCGTAGGAAAGCTGAAGGTTCATATTTGACCCCTGAATGCTCAATGTCCAGTTTTATGCCATATTTTCAAAATATTTTAATATGATTATAAATATTACTGTGTAGAATCAAATATAAAATTCATTACTGAAGTAGTGGTTATTTTTAAAAATAAAATAAAGAAAATTCATTACTGAAGTAGTGGTTATTTTTAAAAATCATGGTAAAATATACATAACAAAATTTATTGTCTTAAGTTTTAAGTGTGTGATTCAGTGGTCTTATGATCAGTCATATTGTTGTGTAGTCAATCTCCAGAACTCTTTCTGTCCTGCAGAGCTGAAACTCTGTACCCAGTTAGCATCTCTGTGTTTCCCTCTTAGCCAGTCCTTGCACCCATCATTTTATGTCTGAATTACTAGCCTTAAGTATCTCATCTAAGTAGAGTAGTAAAATACTTGTCTTCTTGTATGTGACTTATTTCACTTAGCATAATGTCTTCAAAATTTATGCCCATTGGTAGGATGTAGAATACACTTCCTTATTAAGACTGAGTAGTATTCTCTTCTATGTGTATACTCACATTTTGGTTCTCCTTGTCCGTTAGTGGACACTTACGTTGTTTTCCACCTTCTGACTATCTAGCTCTGAACATTGGGGTACAATTATCCATGTTCCCACTTTCAGTTCTTTTGAGTATGTATTTGATTTTGTTTTTAAAGTCCTAGAATAAATGATAGGTTTTTGTAACTACTGTAGATTCACAGAAAAATTTTTTTCTGAGTTTTATTTGTGTAGTAGAAAGATTAGAAATGGCAAGTAATCAAAAGTAATTAATGAAGTTAAGCTATAGTATTGTGACCAGCTAACAGTCCTGGGATTGTCAAGCATATCCATAAATCTTGTTATGTATGTGATAAGGCTGTGGTAGAAAATGTTGCTTCATTTATGTCTGACTTTAAGTAATAAAAATTAGACTGAAGACCCCATTGCAGCACAATGGCTACTGTTCCGTTGCTTGTCAGATGATGTGCTCAGTGCTTTGTCTCCATTTTCTCAGTTACCTCTCTTGATAAGCCTAGGTGGTAACTACCATAATTATTTCCATTTTCTATCACAAACAGAAGCCCTGAGAATCTAAGTAACACACAAAGAAGTGGTAGAATCACAATTCAAATGTAGTCTGATTTTCAAGACTGAACACTTTGAGCCCATGATTTTTAGTTTTCATTTCTCAAAAATTTCCATTAAAATGACAAAAGATATATAAAATTGAAGAGAAAATGTTTCCATAATGGCAGAGTGAGCCACTTTGAACTAGAAAATTGGGAAATTTCTGCAGGATAGAGATGCTGGTCACTAATGCTCAGCAGTCAGTTCAGTATAAACAAGGGAGGAACTCAAAAAGATAGGAAGGAAAATTTTGAAGGACCAGAGACAGAGGGATAAGGTTATTAAAAGACCAAATAGCTAAATCTATTAAAAGATAATTTTCAAGTATAATGAAACTTCTATAACAATTTATGCTGTTTTCTAAAAATTTCAAAATAGGATATATGTTAAACATCACAGTTCTCTAGTTTTTACTACAGTGAAATAAAACTAGCAATCAATAAATTAAAGGTTTAAAAACAAAACAGTCATCTACTCAAAGTGGCAGCTGGATCATCGAGACTAAGATTAAAATTACTGATTAGAAATTAATAACAACAGCACTGAAGAACAAATACCCAAGGAATGCGGGCAGAATCACAGATTGATAGCTTTGAATCCGCTTTCCTCCCCAGCTGGTACTGGGATTGAACCCAGGACCTTCACACTGAGCTACATCCTCGGCCCCTTTTTAGTTTTTATTTCATTTTATTGATTATTGATTGAGACAAAGTGTCACTGGATTCCTCAGGCTGGGCTCAACCTTGCAGTTTTCCTGCCTTAGCCTCCTAGGGTGCTGGAACTACAGGCATGTGCCACCATGTCCAGCACTTTGCATATTTTTGTAAAAGTAATGAACTTGAGTTTTAATTTAAGAAGCTAGAAAAAGGGGGCTGGTCATTTAGCTCAGCGACATAAGCTCCTGCCTTGCAAGCAGGCGGTCGTGAGTTCGATCCCGGTACTGATAAAAATGAAAAAGACAAAAAAAAAAAAAAAAAAAAAAGAAGCTAGAAAAAGAGACAAATGTGGTGGCATTCACCTGTGACCCCAATAGTCTTGAGAAGCCGAGGCAAGAGAATAGCAAGTTCAAGACCAGCTTAGGCAATTTAGCAAGAGGTTGTCTTAAAAATCAAAATAAAGAAGGGCTAGGGATATAACGTAGTGCAAAGGCACTGGATTCAATTTTAATCTCCAGCAACAACAAACAAACCACCGAAAAGAAACTAGAAAAAGAATAGCAATAAAAAATAGCCAAAACTAGAAAAAGGAATTATAATTTATCTTACTAGTAAATATTGTTTAAGTAAAATTGAAAATCAAGACTCTTTAAAAACTATGTTTTTGAAAAGAATACAATCATCTTCAACTTATCTAATCTACGTGGAAATTGTGAAAAGGTGAAATTTTCTAGGAAAATACAAATGACTGAAATCAGCCTAAGCTATAGGTAATATGAGTGCAGAATAGTAACTTGGAAAGATTAATAAAATCTGTTACCATTTCCACTCTTGCCCCTATTGACATAGCAAAACGATTTGGTGGGTAGATTGGTGTGTTTAGGAAACATAATTATTACTTAAACGGCTATAATTCATATAAAATATACAAAAACCAAAAGGAAGGCACTCAGAATCCCCATTTCAAGGAAAGTCGGGGTCTCAGTTTTACTTTCCTTTGTTTTTATGATGATAGTAGTTTCCAAACTGTGCTACGAGGAGCCCTAAAGATACTTTGGGTCCCCAGAAAGGCCTGAGGGAGACAGAAGCTGAGACTGTGCTCCTGTTTAGAGCAGGTGAATTCCCACTGTTTCTGTTGGCTTTTGGGTAATATTTTGTTTGAGACAAAAAGGTTCTTTTGATGTTTCTTTAAAGTTTAGGAGCTACATATTTTTTTCAAATATGCAGTTGAGAATCATATCAAGTGCATTCATCTGCTTTTTCTCATAACAGTGTATTATGTATATTTATCTGTATAGTTAAAAATTGTTCACAAAAACCTTTATTGGGTAAAATTAATACTAAAGTGCATGTTATGACCCACAGACAGACAGACAGACAAAGAAAGAAAAGTAAAGGCAGGCAGGCCCCTATTACCATCGTCCCTCTGACCCCATTCTCCCTGTGGAGCTTGGTGAGCATCACTCCAGACCTTTCTGGATGAACTTACAGTGCTATGTGGGTTGTACACTCTAAACATAAATGTGATACTATTCATATTATTTAGCACTTTGTGGTTTATATTCTAGCAACTGTTCATATCTATTGCATTTCCCTTTTTTAGTGTTGTGTTGTTTTGGTGCAGTTTGTTATCAAGCCTTGGGCAAATACTCTACCATGAGCTGCAGCCTCATCACTAATGCTATTTTTACTAAAGGTATCTTATTAACCAGCAATTTCCACATTCCCTATACAGGACTTTTCACTTTCCATAGTGCTTCTCATAGTGACTTCTAACAGTTTCTAGCATTTCTTCTCCTATTCTACCATGTTCTGATTGCTGTCCTTAATTTTTTTCCTGCTGCATATATCTTCTATTGATTTTCTTATAGAAGATGCAAGTTCAAGTCTTCCTACCTCTGGTTTCTTTCCCTAGAAACACACATGCATACAAAATAATTTCTTCATTTGCCTATTTCTCCTTTCCCATTCTTCCTCTATCTTCAGAAACGTTTTACAGTAAGTCAGTAATTTATGTTTACATTTTATTGAGCATACAGAAGCAGGTAAAATTGTGGATACATTTCCTTTCTTGTATAATCTTTTATCCTATAGGACTTCTTGAATTTTACATCTTCCTCTTCCTTGATTTTATTTCCTTAGTTTGGTGAAACATTCTTCATTAATTTCCAGAGAAAGTATGTGTTGGAGGAACATTTTTAGAAGTTGGAATGGCTAGAACTGTTTATCCTACTCCTGATAGTTTGGTTCAGTATGGAATTTTAGATTGGAAATCTCTCTTTTTTCTGAATTTTGAAGATGTTCACTGGCTTCTAGCTTTACAATGCAATTTGGAAGTCTTAGTCATTCTAATCCCTGTTATTATATTTTATGATCCATTGTCTTTTGGTTCCCTAAAATTGCACGATAATATACTTTATTTGGGTCCATTTTCATTTTTATCCATTGCAATGGGTCCTTGCTCATCCCATTCAATCTAGAAACTGGGATTCTTCAGAGCTTAGAAAATTTCTCACATTATTTCTTTGAAAGAATTATTTCTCTTTTCTGTGGTCAGATATATATCTCTTGGATTGATCCTCTAATT